ATGCAAAGTGTACCAAATACTCAGTTGGCCTGTTGCTGTCTCTTATACACATCTAGATGTGTATAAGAGACAGTACCAGCCCCCCTAGCCCTGGGGGGGGTTTTCGAGTAAAAAAAAAAAAAAAAAAAAAGATCTCATTTTGGATGGGGTGGCTGTGGATATTAATGGTTCTTTTTTTACTATATTTGTGGAGGCAGGTTTCGAGGATGTGGTTGAGTTCATTAGTGGCACAATTATAGTGTCAGGGTTGAGGTTGTGTTCTTGGTTGATGATATTGAGGGTTTGGTTCCATGCGTTGTGGCGTTCCAGTTTTACTTCTTGGGGGTCCAGGTTGGTAAGAGGAATGTGGTGGAGGCCACATTTGATGAGAAATCTCAGTTCTTTGTTGCTAACAATGTTCATGTCCATGGTTACGACATGCGGGTCCATTTCGTCGGCCAGAAGGCCTTGTGCGAGGGGTGTGATGTATTTTTGGAATTTGCTTTGTTGGCAGTAGCAGTGTTCTTGTTGGGACTCATGCCATTGGCAGAGGTCGAATTTTTTGAAGGCTGCAGTGGGTTTGTAGAGTAGTTTAGCAATGTGATTGTTGTAGGACCATCCATAGGTGATAAGGTCAATGGTGGGGATGACATTGGGGATGTGTTGTTCAAAAATGTGTTTGAAGAGAGATTTTGGTTTTATTCTTTCAAAGAGTCGATTTTTGTAATGTAGATGGATGAGATATTGTTTCATTTCTTTGTTGCATCGCCATCCAAGTCTTTCGTGGGGTAAGGTGTAAAGCCTGCCAAGGGGTACCTGCAAAGCAAGAAGATGGGTTGAGGACTAGGGGTTAGAAAGACGAGAATTTTTTGTTTTTTTCGTTCTATGTGTGTGTGTGTGTAGTCGGGGGTATTATTTAGTTATATGCATGTGTATGTGCATAGAGAGAGAGTCAATCAGAACAGCTTGGTAAGGCGTAGGCAAAGAAGATGGCAATAAGTGGGGAGTGTATTATTTTGGAATTTGAGGGTGAGTTAGATTTGAGAGCAAGAGTGGGGAGGGAGGGAGACAGAGAGAGAGAG